GCCTCCCAATAGTTTCGCTCTTCTCCCCAAGACACAACAATGTTCTCTGTACCAGGCCACTGCCTTGAGAGGGGTGTGGAGGGGGGAGGGGTAGCATTGGCACTCCAAGAGTGTTTTTTCTATCTCTTCAGTGCCGCTTTCAGTGGCATGAAGTTAAAACCAGGTACTGTGTGTATTCACCTGATGTTTTGTTCTAATGAAGGTGCTTTTTTGTTAGATAGTTGTTAAATTTGTGTCTTTGGGAAAGGATGATGATCAAGGAAGCCTCTTATTCCACCACCTTGCTTCTAAATACTTACTTTGAGGTTACAAATGGATTCAGAGTGCAATTACTTACCCTAGTAAATAGTTGTCACATTGTAAGTAGTTATAATTTTCAACAAATACTGGAATGGAAGTCAGCATATATAAGTTAATTCCATTCAAAATTTGTGAAAATTTTCTGGGATCTTGCAAAATCAGTCATATTCTAAGTTTGAAACTATTAATCCCTTTTAAATCAACACTATCTGTGGGAAGTAAATCATATGTTTAAATATTATTCTCAACTTCCTTTGAATTCATTCAAAAGGTTATACTGAATATGGATTCACATGGGATTTTTATGTTCTAATGAAGAAAATTTTTATATTTAGTGATGGAAATTTTAATTTTTAAATTTAAATGTTTTAATTAAAATTTTAAAAATTTTCTCTCAAGTTCTCAGAAATAGAGTATCTGTACGATGGTGATTTTTCTATCTCTGGTTGAAAATAAGTCTATTTATACTGAAATGCTTATGGATTTAAATTTTTCATGTAGTTTGCTTAATTGCTTATCATATATGACAGTGCCATTTCTGACTATATTGATTAAATCAAGTTGTTTTTCACCCTAGTATTATTTCTTGTCTTATTTGTTAGAAATTCTACCAACATGCAGTGATTTCAATGAATGTTGTTGCTGTGTTCATAAACATTCACAGAAAGACAGAGATGCTTGTCATGCATAAGTGAGGCAGAAAGTAGTGAAATTCCTAATAGCTAAACAAAAATATTTATTCATCACTTAAGAGTACAAACATGAAAGAAAACTAACTTATACACCTATCTGCTAGGCACTACTAGACTTTTTATATGTATCAACTACTGATTGGGCCTTAATTCTTATACATTTCCTCAGTAGAAATCTCATATCTTGAAATCCTGAGTATCTTGCCCAAATTCATTCAGCTCTTCTGGATAGAGGTAGACTTTGAGTCAATATTGCCTTTTCTTCACATCCTTGGGAGTTTAGAAAAAAGATAATTTTTGTTTCATTAATCTTTTTTGTTCTTTTATTGTCAAATTCTTTATTTTGCTCCAATCTTATTTCTTTTCTTCTAATAATTTTTGGTTTGATTTTCTGTTGCTTTTCTAGGTCTTTAAGATGCATCATTAAGTTGTTTTAATTCCTTCATTCACTCAATGGTTGTTTAGGACCACATTGTTTCATTTTCATTTGTTCGTATAGTTTCCAAAGTTCCTCTTGTTATTGCTTTCTAGTCTTATTCCATTGTGGTCAGAATATATACTTAATATGATTTCTTTAAAAAAAATTGAGACTTGTTTTTTGGCCTAACATGTGGTCTAAGCTGAGAATGTTCCATGTACTGAGGAGAAGAATATGTATTCTGCAAGCTGTTAGATAAAATATTCTATAAACGTCTATTAAGTCCTTTTGATCTACAGAGCAGTTGAATCTGATACTTCTTTGCTAATTTTACGTTTAGATGGTGTGTCCAATTCTGCCAGTAGGGCGTTGAAGTCCAGCTATTATTATATCTGTCTTTAGCTTGAATGATATCTTCTTTGTTGCTTCTAATGCTCCAGCATTGGGTGCATATATATTTACAATTGTTATATCCTCTTGATGAATTAACCCTTTTCTCATTAAATAATAGCCTTCTTTGTCTCTATTTATAGTTTTGTCTTCAAATGTATTTTATCTGATGTAAATATAGCTACTCCTGCTTTTTATGGATCCTATTTCATAAAATATCTTTTTCCATTTCTTAAATTTTAGTCTATGTGTATCTTTACAGGTGCAGTGAATTTCTCATAGGCAGCATATGGTTGGGCCTTGGGTTTTTTTAAAATTATTTATTCAGTCACATCTTTTTCTGGAAGAATTTAGACTATTTATACTCAATTTTATTATTAATAGTAAGAATTACACTGTTATTTTATCATTTGTTTTTTAGGTCCTCTCATTTTTATTTATTTATTCCTATTTTGCTTTGTGTGAAAGTGATTTTTCTCAGGTGACATGTTTACATTTCTTGCTTTTATTTTTTTCATATCCTTTGTAGGTATTTTTGGATGTTACCAGGAGGCTTGCAAATAACATTCTATAACCAATTATTTCAAACTCATGACAACTTAAATGTGATTACAAACAAACAAACAAAAAACAAAAAGAAAAGTAAAAAACTCATCTTCAATTCCATTTCCCCCGCCTTTTGACTTTTTGTTATCTCTATTTATATCTTTTTATCTAGTCTATCTCTTTAAAAGTTATTGTAGTTTTTTTTTTTTTAATTGATTTGTCTTTTAGTCTTCCCACTACAGGTATATATAGTTTTACATATTACAATTACAGTGTTAGAGAATTCTGTATTTCTATGTGTTACTATTACCAGTGAGTTTTATACCTTCAGATGATTTATTGTTGCTTGTTAATGTACTTTTTGTTTAGATTGAAGAACTCCTTTTAAAATTTCTTATAAGACACGTCTGGCATTGATAAAATATTTTAGCTTTTGTTTGTCTAGGACAGGGTTTATTTCTCCTTCATGTTTGAATGATAATTTAATGAACATAATATTCTAAGTTGGAATTTTTTTTCATCACTTTAAATATTTCATCCCACTCGTTTCTAGTCTGTAAGGTTTCCTATGAGAAACTTGATGCCAGATGTATCAAAACTCTTCTATATTTTATTTGCTTCTTTTCTCTTGCTGTTTTTGGGGTCTTTGCTTTATCCTAGATCTTTGAGAATTTGATTGTCATCTGCCTTAAGGTAGTCTTATTTAGGATGAATCTTTTGAGGTTCCTTACCCTTGTTGTACCTACATATTCATATCTTTCTCTAAGTTTGAAAAGTTCTCGCTATTATTTTTTAAATAAACTTTCTACCCCATCTCTCTCTCTACATCATCTTTAAGGCCAGTAACTCTTAGATTTACCCTTTTGTGGCTATGTTCTTAATCTTATAGGCATGCTTAAGGAAAAATAATTTTATATGAGAAAAAGTATTGTATGGTCAGTTTTGCTTTGCTTAGGAAAACAAAAACTGAGATAAATTTTTAAAATTAAGGTTATTACATCCATGTATTTTCCTGCATGTGCTTTTAAGCCATTGTAACATTGAGTTACAGGGCTTTAACTCCTGGGTCTAAAAAGGAAACAGAGTCCTGCTAAATCTTAAACACTGACAGCAATGAAAGCCTCATCTTCAGGCTCCATAGAAGATGCCAGTCAAAATAAACTGCATTCCTGAGACACAAGGCAAAATAATTTAAGCTATTTAATTCCTCAAGGCCCAGGCCAGGGACTATTGCAGAGGAAGTGGGAGCATACAATTGTAAGGACCAATTTTGAAAGATAAAATAAGTTCCATTTCTCTGTAAATCAATCATTAGTATAGAAGGCACACTGATGCAAAACTAGTATATGGACTCCTGTGTCAGATGAACAAAGTTTTCTTGCAGCACTAACCAACTCCTTAATAAAGGTTATAAGAGGCTTATGGAAGTTATATTTTATAATCAAAATTAAATTTTATTGATTGTTTACAAAATTTTGAAAAACAAATGTAATTGGCTTCATGCTGTTTTTAATTATAATTTTTAGTTAGAAAATTAAGCCTTCTTGCTCAAAGAATGAAAGTTTTCATTTTTTTGGAAATCCTTGAATTATCACTTTGGTTAAATTACTTTACAATGACCTGTAATCTTATTTTGTAATATCCAGTGTTTAAAACCTTTTATATTTGACAAACTTTCCAAAATAAAATTATAAATTATGTCTTTTTGTAACCTAATTAATCTTTTAAGACATTAGGTTCCTTAAAGTCCAAAAAAATGACATAGTTTGGCTTACTGGGTATAAAAATTATACAGGAAGCATTGTCAAATATGAAATGGTGTTTGGTTTTCTTTGGGCTGTATTTGTATAAATATGTTATTAGTATGTGTTCCAAAATTATGGGAAACTCCTGTAATTCTGATATAACTTAGTGTACGTTATCAGTAATAATCATAATTATTATTTTAAAATTATTGTGAACCACAGAGGTAACAAATTTCCTTGTCAATTGTGTCTTTTGACTATGGCTGCCTTACAACTTTTTTTAATCCATGGACAATTGTTCTTGGAGTGTTCTTGACATGATTGTCTTGCTTTGGTCCTCTTTAGAAGGTAGTTTTATAATCAGCTATAAAACTCCAACAGGTGCTCTTAAATGCAGGTTTCTGATGACTTTGGAGATTGTGACATCAGAATGGAGCAAAAACTGTCGGGACTTATGGAGAACTAAAATGTTCACGGGTGGGGGTGGGGGGCTTGCTTTGAGCTGTATCAGCCTTACTGGATGGAACTAATGTACTTCTTACATATTGATTGCTGTCTCATGTCTCCCTAAAATATATAAAACCAAGCTGTGCCCCGACCATCTTGGGCACATGTCGTCAGAACTTCCTGAGGCTGTGTCACGGGTGCATCCTCAACCTTGGAAAAATAAACTTTCTAAATGAACTGAGACCTGTCTCACATTTTGGGGGTTTGCAGATAAGATAAGGGAGAATCCGCTGGGTTACCAGGAAACATCTCTTGCTCTCTTCTCTCTATTTTCTGCAATCAGAAGGAGTATCTCTTCACACTGGGCTGCCTAGAGTTGGAGGAGGGGTGATGGGTGCACCTTTGTGGCCAGCACAGCTGGCACTGTGCAGGGTTGCACCTGGGTCTGCAGCCACTACTACCTGACTTCAACTGATATTTATTCAAGGCTCTAGACCACATTAGTCAGCAGGTGGTGAATTCCGCCAGGACTGGGTTCATCCCATCAGGACAGTGAATTTTCTTCTGGCCTAGGGTGGGTCTAGAAATGTCATTCAGGAGCAAAGACCTAGAATTCACAGCTTCAGGAATCTGCCTGGTGCTTTATTTCACTGGAGCTGAGCTGGTATCCACGTTGTAGGCCATAGTCCTCCACATCTTTTCCTCTCCATCCGCCAAGCAGGAGTCTGTCTTGGAGCCTGCACTGCCTGGAGTTGGGGAGAGGTAGTACAGGTGAGCCCTTGACCACTACAGCTGGTGTCACACTTGGTTACACCATATGTCCACTGCCTCCAAGACAAGTGTATCACCAGAGCTTACCCTAAACTGTAGACCTTGTGGCCTGACTAGCACTCAAATTTTTCCCGGCCTCAGACCACCATAGCAAGCACATGGTGAAGCCAAAACTCTAGTTTTTACCGCTGAAGCAGGGAATCTCCCTCTAGTTCAGGGCTTGTCGGAATCCTGCTTCTGTGTGAGCTGGCAGAATTCTGCCCTGTGCCGTGTTCCACTGTGACAGGGCAGCACTGAGTTCCAGTGCAAAGTTCCACAATCACTGCCCTCTCCCTCCCCCAAGCACACAGATTCTCTCTCCCATGCTATGCTGCCTGCAGTTGAGGGAGGGGTGGTATAGACAATGCAGGTCTTTACTTCCTAAGTTCTTCAGTGCCTCCTTTCTTAATACTATGTTTAAAACAGGTACTGAGGTCACTCCCTCAATTTTTTGTTCCTATGAAGGTACTCTGTTGTGTGGATAGTTGTTTAATTTAGTGTTCATGTGGAGAGACCGTCACTGGAGGACTCTATTTGGTCATCTTGCTCTACCTCCTTCTACTTTTACTTTATTGATTATGTAGCTCAAATCATTCCAGCTTTGGCCACTGAAGCTATTTCCCTCGCCTCCTGTGTGCTTTTGACAAACACCCATAATTGTGTATATGGGATGTGTTTTTGTTGGTTTATTTTTAGCACTTTTTATTGACTGCTAGTATATCTTGTATATTTCCTGCAGTATTCCCAGAATCAGCTATTTCTTTAAGAAGCCCTGGAATTTTGTAATTGGAGGATGGTACTAGAAACCAAATCTGGGTGATAGATGTGCTGTCTCCTCCTACAGTATGATTACTCCTAGGTGCTCTCAGCTGGCAGAGTGAGCATATGTGTCTTCTTGCTGCTCCACATTCTTGACAATAATTGATATTTAATTTTTTATTGTAACCATTCTAAGTATCTACTTATTGTTTTAATTTGCAATTACCTAATGAAAAATAATGTTGAACATCTTTTCATGTTATTTGCCTTCTTTATATCTTCCTTGGTCAGATGTTTGTCCAGATCTTTTACCCTTTTTTTATTGGATTGTTTCTTTGCTTATTGTTGAACTTTATATTATGTATACAAACCCTTCATCAGAAATGTGTTTGTTAAAGTTTACTTAGTCTGTGGCTTTTCTTTTGATACTCATAAAAGTGTCTTTCTCAGATAAGATGTTTTAAATTTTAGGATAACTTAAACTTATCTATTTTTTTCTTTTTTTTCTTTTATAGATTATGCTGTTGGTGTTGTATCTAAAATTCATGAGCATACTGAAGGGCACCTAAATTTTCTCCTATGTTTTCTTCTGGAAGTTTTATAGTTCTAGTTTTACATTTTAGACTTATAATCCACTTTGAGTCAGCACTTGTGAAATATGTATGGTGTATGTCTAGGCTTATGTTATTTGAATATGAACATCCAAGTGTTCCAGCACTATTTGTGTAAAGATCACCCTTTATTGAAATGCCTTTGTTAGTTTGTCAAAGATTAGTTGACTATAATTATGTGGGCATATTATGGTCTGTCTATTCTGTTATCTTAAATTTGTGTATATCCTTTTAATAATACCATGCTGTATTGATTACCTTAGCTCTATAGAAGTCTTGAGATCAGGTAGTGTGAGTGTTCCAACCTTGTTCTTCTTCAGTGTTGTGTTGGCTATGCTAGTCTTTTGTTTTCTCATATAAACTTTAGAATAATATTTTTAATTATGAATAATGCTAATCTGAACATTTGTGTAGAATTTTGTGTATGAGCAAGTGTTTTCATTTCCCATGGGTATATACTAGGAGTGAAAATGCTGGGTCATATGTCCACTCGGTTTACTTCTCCATCCCTTTATTTTGAGCCTATGTATGTCTCTGCATGTGAGATGGGTCTCCTGAATACAGCAGACTGATGGGTCTTGACTCTTTATCCAGTTTGCCAGTCTGTGTCTTTTAATTGGAGCATTTAGTCCATTTACATTTAAGGTTAATATTGTTATGTGTGAACTTGATCCTGCCATTATGATATTAACTGGTTATTTTGCTCATTAGTTGATGCAGTTTCTTCCTAGCCTTGATGGTCTTTACATTTTGGCATGTTTTTGCAATGGCTGGTACGGGTTGTTCCTTTCCATGTTTAGTGCTTCCTTCAGGATCTCTTGTAAGGCAGGCCTAGTGGTGACAAAATCTCTAAGCATTTGCTTATCTGTAAAGGATTTTATTTCTCCTTCACTTATGAAACTTAGTTTGGCTGGATATGAAATTCTGGGTTGAAAATTCTTTTCTTTAAGAATGTTGAATATTGGCCCCCACTCTCTTCTGGCTTGTAGAGTTTCTGCCGAGAGATCTGCTGTTAGTCTGATGGGCTTCCCTTTGTGGGTAACCCGACCTTTCTCTCTGGCTGCCCTTAAGATTTTGTCCTTCATTTCAACTTTGGTGAATCTGGCAATTATGTGTCTTGGAGTTGCTCTTCTCGAGGAGTATCTTTGTGGCGTTCTCTGTATTTCCTGGATTTGAATGTTGGCCTGCCCTAGTAGGTTGGGGAAGTTCTCCTGGATGATATCCTGAAGAGTGTTTTCCAACTTGGTTCCATTTTCGCCCTCACTTTCAGGCACCCCAATCAGACGTAGATTTGGTCTTTTTACATAATCCCATACTTCTTGCAGGCTTTGTTAATTTCTTTTTCTTCTTTTTTCTTTTGGTTTCTCTTCTCGCTTCATTTCATTCATTTGATCCTCAATCGCTGATACTCTTTCTTCCAGTTGATCGAGTCGGTTACTGAAGCTTGTGCATTTGTCACGTATTTCTCGTGTCATGGTTTTCATCTCTTTCATTTCGTTTATGACCTTCTCTGCATTAATTACTCTAGCCATCAATTCTTCCACTTTTTTTTCAAGATTTTTAGTTTCTTTGCGCTGGGAGGGGAGGAGAGGAAGGGGAGGGGGAGGAGAGAGGAAGAGGAGGGGAGGAGAGGAAGGGGAGGGGAGCAGAGGAGAGGACGAGGGGAAGGGAGGGGAGGAGAGGAAGGGGGGGGGAGGAAGAGGAAGAGGAGGGAGGAGAGGAAGGGGAGGGGAGCAGAGGAGAGGACGAGGGGAAGGGAGGGGAGGAGAGGAAGGGGAGGGGAGGAGAGGAAGGGGAGGTGAGGAGAGGAAGGGGAGGGGAGCAGAGGAGAGGAGGAGGGGAAGGGAGGGGAGGAGAGGAGAAGGGAGGGAAAGGGACAAGGAAAGAAAGAGAAGGGGAAAGGGAAAGAAAGCAAGGAGGAAAGAGGAAAGGAATAGAAAAGAAAGGGGGAAAGAAAAAGGAAAGGAGAAAAGAAAAGAGAAAGAAAAGAGAAAAGAAAAGGTGCTTAATATTACCTCCCCTCCTTCATTATCAGTCCTCCTGCTCCAGTCCAGACAGGTTGCATTCTAGACCCAATGCTCAGCCTTCCAGCAGAGACTTCCCTTTTGCTCATTTCCCTGTTAGATATTCTGTTCCCAAACTCTCCACCTTCCTCTTCATGGTTGATTCCATCATTTTACTAAGAAATCTTGATGGGCTCTTTGGCAGCCTTTGTTCACACACGATTTATATTTCAATTTGTGTGGAAATCTAAATTTGAAATAATTTTTCTTCTGCACTCTGAAGGCACTTTTCTAATCTAGCATGCTGTGTTGCTTTTAAGAAATTGCATGTTATTCTCATTCCCATTTCTTAATTATCTCTCTGGAAACATTAAGGAGATTTTCTTTATCCCAGGCTTAGTGGCATCTCAGAATGAATATCTTTGGCATTTAAAAAATTAATTTTTCTAGATAGTGTTGGATTCCTTGCATCTGTCCTCCATCCCTGCCTAGCTCTACTTTTTCCTGTTTTCTCTTTACTTTTTTTACTCTTTCTTTCCTTTTCCATGTCTTTCCTTTTCTTTTCCTCTTTTTCTCCTGACTTTCTCTCTTACTCTTACTCTAAAAATTCACAGTTTTATTTTCTCAATGAATATAAACCTGAGAGCGCCAAATAGATACAATCCACATTAAAAAGCAGAATAAATAAACCTGTCAGTTTTCAGAATAATAACTGTCTAATAGCCTATGAAGATTATTAATATTTGCAAAATTATCACTATGAATTCATAGATTTTAACACATGGTATCAACTTAATAAATTATAATTATTATTCTTTGACCGATAGGAGCTCAAATCCAAAATACCATGTTGGTTTCTCAGTCCTTCTGAGATGACCTTAGTAGTCTCTGATAGATTTCTTGTTGTCTGGTGCAGATGTCAAGGCTGACAAAGTGAGACTCTGTCTCAAAAAAAAAAAAAGAAAAAAATGTCTTGGCTACTCATGTGTATTTTTTTTCTGCCTCACGATGAGATATTAGATATTTTTCCAGAGGCCAATGGGTAATAATTTTCACAGTTTTCTGGTTTGTAATTTCTGTTTCTTTTTTTAAAAAAGAAACAAACATTCCAAACACAAATATATACACTCTTATTTCCCCTTCTTTCTTACTCATAAGACTGTGTGTGTGTGTGTGTGTGTGTGTGTGTGCATCCAAACATATATCGTGCCTTGATTTTGGTTTTTGCTCTTTATTTTTATTTTTATTTTTTACTTTACAATATAACCTGTAAGTTGTTACATATCAGTATGTATTAATATTTTCCTTTTTAACATTCACATAGTACTCCACTGTGCATTTATTCAAGTGTTTTTATATCCATAGATACAGAGGTTCTTTCCAATACTTTATCTGATACATCTCAATCATCACTTTATTTGTAACTTTTTGACTCTCCTTTGTTTTAGCCACATCTCTTGTACAAAGTATACAGCTGGATTTTTTCTTTCCAAGCAAGTCTGAAAATATCTTTCTTGTAATAGTTTAGTTGAATTCATTTTTATTAACTTCAATGACTGACATGCTTGATCCAAATTCTATCATATTATCTCATTTAATATTTATCAATGATGTTATATTTACTGTTTATTTATATCTTGTTTTATATGATTTTTATTTCTTCTAGTATTTCAGACAGTTGGTATTTTTGTTTTAGTTATCTTTACATTAACACCTTTATTACATACTCAGTCTTCTGTGTCTGCACTTATAATGCTATTTTTGGTTTCTCTGCTTTAAATAATATTTTTGACTACCACTAGTACTTATATGACA